TAGTAATACATTCTGTGTAATATTACCAGTTCTAAGTATTTGTAACAATTGAAGTAATTTAGTTAATGATAAAATATATATCATAAGAGCTATAAATTTAAAGAAACCTTAAAACCTTAAAGTTAGAATTTAAAATTAATAGCAGTACATTCTGTGCAATGTTATTCTGAATATTTGTAAGAGTTGAAGTAATTCGGTTAATCATAAAAGATATGTTATAAGAGCTACACAGCCAATACAATCGATAATTAGTGATAAGAGATCTATTAAAACAATCATAATTACTCTGCCATTACAGCCAGCAAAGAATTATGATTAAAGATAAAAGAAGACCTATTAGAAGAACGAAAACCACTCTGCCAATCTATTTGTAATACATTGTAAATAATGATAAAAACTTTAATAAAAACAACTCAAATACTATTCCAATACCGGCAGTAAAGTATTATAATCAATGATGAAAGACTATTAAAAGAACCACAGTTACCCTGCTATTAAAGCCAAAAAAGCATTATAATCAATGATAAAAGACTATTAAAAGAACCACAGTTACCCTGCTATTAAAGCCAGGAAAGCATTATACACCACTTCATCGTCCGTTAATCCACTCTTGGAACCTATGATGATATAAATTATCGTAAATTTGAGACTTCTACGAAAATATATTGTTAACGAAGATATTTATTTTAATGGATTTTATTTAGCAATCAGAGTACATATAACAGACAGCAGGAGTCTGTCTTTGTCTTAAATTCAGAAACTTTAACATTTCTAAATATCAATTTCCCTGATCGTGCCATTATATGAAAAATTACCGTTTCCAGTTGTCAGAGTTTCACAGAAATATTAGTTTTATGTGTCCCTCTCTAATCACATTTCTAGTTCCTCCTTATTAATTTCTAAAGTCTGAATCTTAGCCACAGAGATGGAAAGATAATCGGGATTATTAACAGATAGTACTATTAAATTGGTCGATACCATTTGTACTTGCGACAGGGATTGATTTATGTGTTTCGTCTCCAGCAGTTAGTTGACTCCCGGTAACCTTCCTAACGTCGACATTGATGTTCTGAGAGTCGATCATTAACTGGAGAAGATCATTCCGTCGTTTCTATGTAACAATAATAAGAAAATTGCATGGCTACCGTCAGTAACACTCAAGTAGTACAGGAAATAAACATA